CATGCTCCTTTCTGTCCCGAGAGTGGCAGCAAGTCGACTATGGACAGAAGAATCTAATCAATGAACGACGTCTACATCTAAGTGATTACGTCATGCCTTCAGCCGAATATTTGAGCACCAGACACGGCTCCCTACTTGTTTTTTGATAGGTGTAAAAGCAGTGAGTAAAAATGTGAAACAAAAGATGGTTTCCTGTTGTGAAAAGTTGTGCAGGTCACGGCACATGAGTTGCGGAATCGCGCACAAAGTAGCAGAGTATTTCCCAGCCACTCGACACGCTGCAGCATCGCTGCGCTTGGGATGTGCTTCAATAACTTCTTTTCCCCTCCCGCTTTTTTTCATAAGTTGTATAAGGTAAATTTTCACACGAAACCAAAAAGTATACGGCAAAATGTGTCTCTTCCAAACGCTTTGTTCCCAGTACTACGTTTTATTTTCATGTTTCTTCCGAACACTTTGATCCCAGTACAAAGTTTCAGTTTCAGACTGCAGTGGAATGTACTCGACTGGAATTCCAGTGCGATCGCTTTCTATGAGACGATGCCGAGCGAGAATATCACAAAGAAGGAAGGGTGGTTACTGTATCGACTAGATGCCCAGGGGATAGCTGCTTTGGCAGAATCGAAGCCGGCGACACGGTAATAAATGATCTCGATAGGTTGTCATTGAATAAATAGTTAGTAAGGACCCGCGAAAAAGTAGAAGTTGAAGAAGAAGACACAGCATTTCTGTATGCTGACTGCTAGTTTATAACACATTGTTCATCTGATAAACTCGACAGAAAGGTCTGGATTTTTCAATTTAATTTAGGTCGATTTACGTGCATGTTACGATGAGTGATGCACCAAGATGCAGTGTTAGAATAATACTAACTCAAAACAATAGTCTGAACTACAAACAAAACAAAATCGCAAATATAAAATAAGGATGACAGTTTGTCCTCGAGGTTACACTCGAAATCCCTGAGTTTTGGTAGGCGTGGCTATGTCCTTCAACAGGGTCATTTCCATTTTGAGAACACTCGTGGGGGTCATCATCCTTGTCCAGAGCAATGAACAAGGTAACTATGCTATGCCCATGTTCGGACTGGCCACGCTCAGCTTTGTCTTACGGATGAAGGGTGTAGCGCGGGGCCACCAGGCGCAAAATATTCGAGCTTAAAGGCAGAAGAAAAAGCCTCCGTTCTCAGTGGCTTGTAAATCAATTTTGGACGAGTTTCCCGTAGGCATCTTACCAATGCTACCGAAGATACGGCTGGATATGTGTACCCATGTGTGCATGCAGCATCACGGCCGCTTCATACCAATCCCTTCGCTTCATAATTTGCTTAGCAAATGAATGATACGCGTCAGGAACGGTCGTCCATTTGTGGGCGGGCGGGCGTGGCGGGCGTTTGGGACGTAAAGTTGTGGCTTGATAGGGCCCTTCACCTTCCTCGGGGAAACCGCTATGCAGCGCCTGCCCAGGGTCGCGGAATTCTATCCTGCCAGGAGTATTGATCCTAGTCTTGGGGATTTATCGTGCCAACTGCCTTTAAGTTTTTGCTTCCGCTGCTTATCACAGTGAACCACTAATGGTAAGGCTCCAAACTCTTTTCCACTCAGTCTTCTGCTTCGTACAACACTCGAAGCCTTTACAGTTGAAGTAGTTGGTCCTGCAGGCTTTCTTCCTATCTCTCCTCTGCCGTTTTCGGCCATTCCCTCTCTGCTCTCACACTTCTATGGTTGATTACAGAAATAAACCGCCTCCAATGAGCCACCTAGGGCCCCCATTTTTGAAAAGGTTCCTTGTTAGTGCAGAGGTACATGCGGGACCACAGAAGTACTGTTCATTTGTGCTGCGGGCGGGGCAATGGCTGAAGAGCGGTGATACAGTAGGTCGGTAGTCGAATCCCCATCTGGGTCGATAAAATTTTGTATGACTGCAATATTTATTTCCATTTTTTTGCATTCGCATAAAATAGAACTTTCTTTACGAGTGAAAGTATGCCCTTAAACACTAGCACCATTTTTCCAAAATGTGAAATCGCTTGCCACAGCCAAATTCGTCGTAGTACTTTGAGAATTGGCTCTACGGCTTGAAAATCTCCTTCCCCTCTCGATA